GTGTGGTTTTACAGGGAGTTTGTGCCAGAACCATTTTTTGGCCAGGAAAGTCTCATCACTGTGAGGTTGCTAGGCAACTCCAGGAAGACTACAGCAAGTCACTGCTAAGCTACGCTAACCGCTTGCAGCTCTAGCTCCATATTTAGCATATAGACATGAATGGTATTAATTGTCTCATAAATCTTGGCAAGAAGACAAATTCTCCCCCTCCAAAACAATTAAAATAGACTTAAAATGTTCAATTCATTTAAATGGGCTGAATGAGCTTTTAACCCAAAATAAACAGACATCATAATATGACTAAAATATCTAATTTAGTAATTACTAGGTTGAAACAGTAAGCCAATGGTGAGCAGTGATGGTGTGAAGCCAAAGCTAAAGTGTGGTTCATGCTTAATCAAAAAAAAAAAATTGCTCAAATTGACTGATCGTGGCTCTACTGAGTTACACATCCTGACCTGCAGGACACCTCTCCAGGATCAACCCACACCGTCAACTCCTGGGGAAGGCCGAGATCCTCGTACCGCACTGCACCCCGCTCGCAGGCCTGCTGCAGAACTGGGTCCTGCAGCTGCATACGATTCATACGCAGACACCTGAAACACAGCAGTGACAATCAGCACAAAACACTACTATGCCTCATCAATGTTAGATTAGAGGACTTCTTGTGGAATATTTAAATTTCATTAGGTTGGTTCACAGATTAACCCATTTTCTCTTACCTATAGTGCCTTCTGTACATCGCTGGCTTTAGTTTTATTTATCCAGATTTTTAGTTATGTCAGATTTGTGCCTCATCCCCAATAAAGTAAAGTAGAATGAAATGCCATTTGTGATGCTCAGGAATAAAAACTACAATCCCAGTGAAAAGTGCTGAAAGTGTGTTATCAGAGTAACAATACAACTCCTTTTTTATTTTAAGCAAAATATATATCCATAAACAGTGTGTTACTCTGGATAACAAGAACATGCTGTTAACAGGGTTCAAACTGATGATTTCTTTGGTACAAAGTTGTTTGTGAAGTCTATTCAGTACCTGGGTTCTTTCTGGACTGTAATGTTGCTACTGAATATTTTTAAAGTCAGACTAAGTAACATCCGCTCAATAATGGTGACAATTGTGGGATAATGGTGACAATTGTGGGATAATGGTAAATGCTACAACCTTCTGTAACAGTAGCAAATCATTAAGTCAGTTCCCCTACTAATGGCTGATAAGTACGCCCTTAGGGTGGCAAAGGTTAAGTGTGAAAGTGTGCATTTCAAATGTCCATTCGTAATAATATTTATATGCATTTGTATTTATATTTTGTCCCTTTTTGTCCATTATCTTACTTGGATTAACTTGTGCCCAGATTTGCATCATGTTTTTATTGTTGGGAAAACTTAAACTAGAATTACCCCCCCCCCAAAAAAAAAAGAAAAGTTTACTGACCTGTAGGCCTGACCCTTGGTGGGTGCATTTGGGTGCCAGTGGTTTTTGTATTTTTCAAACAAAACAGAGGTGAGTGCAGCAGCAAAGCGCTCCCTGCCATCATTATCCAGACAACCATATCTCTTCACTAGCCGAGCCACAAAGAACACAGCAGCAGCAATCTCCTCCTTCATGGCTACACACTCACTCACTCTTAAACCTCTGCCTTAACAAACCTGACCAGACACCGCAAACTCAAACCTGTACTGTTAAAACCTCTACAGAGAATAAAACATGTAGGGTGATCCTACTGTTATAGAAAAACAAAATGATTACATAAAACTAACAAGACAAACTGGAGGCCATACAACTTAAGCAAACAAATTTGCTGGTGGAGCTCTAGAGAGAGCATTGATTTGTCTAATGCCACAACACTAATACATAACAAACCATATATATCTCCATATGTCTAAACCTGTGTATGAAGCAGCAGCTTGTTCAGTAGTAGAAACCTCACACACATCAGATCCAAAAAGAGTCACTCCCTCCTTAGTTTCTCATGTGGTTAAATAAAACCACTGTTCAGCTGTGTGAGCTAAGCTGACACACCTGAAGCTGGTTGACTTGATTACTATGTCTGTTTGTGTGTGTGTGTGTGTGTGTGTTTGTGTGTACGCACAGCCTGACTGCTTACGTCAAAGTAAAAAAGTAACCTTTCTCTAAGAAGATCAAAAAAACTGACCCATTCTCTGCAGCACAAGAAATTAGAAGACCGTTGTATGGCACAGAAAGTAAAAAGTACAGCTAGACACTGAATTTGTCTCTAAAATCTCCACATAGTAAACTTTTAAAGGTCAGTTCACCAAAACAACAGAACAAAAGGAGAGTTACGTCAAGTTTCACAAACATCCCTCCATGTTAATTCAAGAAATTCACAAATTTAATGAAATGTACCCACATAACTCAGAAAACAACTTTAAAAAAAATAAAAAATAAAAAGCAATGAGGTCTAAAATGAACTGAGTATAAACATTGCGATGCAGATCTTCATCTTTCTCTGGTTTGTCTGTCTGAGCATGTTTTATTTAGGTTAGAGTAACTTTATTTACAGATCATGTAGAGAACAGGTGAGAAACCCAGTTAAAAGTGCTGATGTGGGGCTTTCACACAGCAGCTCAGTTATGTGTGTACACTACAAAACTGAATTATTAATATTTGTATTGATTTACAGGTTTCCAATGAAAATCAGACTCACAGCTGAGTTTGTGCTGAAATATACAACACAATGCATGTGGGGTAGGGACATTATGCTAAACAAAGACGAATATTGAATGCACAGAAAGTAGAGAAAGAAAGGCAGAAGCACAGAGGGTGTGTTATGCCTCCTGCGACTCCTTTTGTAAATTGTGAGTACGATAATATTGCCTAATGTTATGATCAACTTGTATTTTCTGTTACTGTGCTCCAAGTTAAGCTTGGAGGAAAGAAGACAAAATATGTTAAATGTCCACCGTGCAATGAATTTAATATTGTTTAGAGGAGTTTTGTTAATGTGTTGGTCGGTGTGGTCCCGTGTCCACACACCGCTGCCTGAGAACAGGCATTCGGCCGTGCGCTCGCAGACTTGAGTCTCTGCGCAGTGACGGACACATAGATCCGCTCGTCTGAAGCGTCTGGACCCTCACTGCAATGCTTTATTATAAACTTTGACCAACTGGTGTGGGTCACGTCTCTCTCTCTCGCGTCCAGGCACACCCCCAACTGTGACTTCCAGCGTGTGCCCAGCGGAGTACCCGGGGTTGAAGGCTACGGGACGGAGCTCTGCATGGGCCCGCTGGATGAGCTGGAGAGCCAGTGTTATGGGCTTTGGGTCAGGATGAGAGCCCCATTGGTCCACTGCATGCTGGAAGTTGTTTATAGGATTTGGGTTAAGCTCAGTTGGGCCGTTACTGGGGATGGAGACATGCTGGAGGTATGTCGTTAATTCAGAATAACAGCAGAAATAATAAAAAAAATAGATATGAGAAAGATTAGGAATGAGATAATAACTCGTTAATTCAGAAAAACAGAGCAGATTTTTAATTTATGGAAGAATATCTCATGAGATTATAACTCATTAATGGTATTTTTTATTCTCTTCCTCTTCCTCTCGGCTTTTAAACAGATTTTTACAAAATTAAAGAGCTTGAGACGACCGGGTTGAATATTATTTGACCTCACTTTAACTTTAACTGACCCATTTGATCATTGTCAGATCTGGCCTGGGTGCCACCGTTGAGATCCGGGTCACTGGGAGACGTCATAATGAATTCACTATTCACATAAAAAAAAAAAAAAGAAACACACTGTTACCATGTTGTGACGACAGTAGGCCTGCGGAACCTCATTTGCATAAAGAATGACATAATGCCCCGCCCCTTTATGACGCCACAGAACAGTGTCTTTGATCTAGTTACAGAAGGCAGAATGTTGCCTGGACAACTGCACCAGACTTACTTGAGCAGTGTGTCTGTGGCAAAACACTGAGAGACAACCCAAACCTAGAAGCATCTTGAAAGCAGAAAATCCGCCTACACTCAGCATGTATTCATCAGGACTCGTACTGAGCGCTCACGTGACATTCCCTCTGATCAAAAGAAGTGAGATACACATTGAGCCGTATCTAAGGTCTTTGGTGAGTAACCATTGGGAATCGGTGGAATCT